TTAAATTAAAATAAGCATGTAACGACCACAAACGGAGAAAAATAGCGGAGTAAAAGTACCGATACATCACTTAAAATGTACTCAAGTAAAAGTAAAAGTACACAATTTTTAAACTACTCAAAAAAGTACAATTACTGATAAAAACTACTTAATTACTGTAACGTGAGTATTTGTAATTCGTTACTTCACACCCCTGCTTGTAATTAACACATGTGATCCTAAGCACTGAGTTAAGGTTCTGAATTATTTAATTAATATAATTCTAATTATTTCAGTTTTTCATTTTAATAAATTTGCAAAGTTATGCTTCCTCCCCCCTTTGTTATTATTGTTAAATTGATGTAATAGTATAGTAATTTAAAGCGGTATTAAGTGTGCATATTAGAAGAGTATTGGCAATGAGCATGAACTGTAATCCGTAAGGTTCTTGGCCAAAATAAGCTTCAGTGTGGACCAGACTTTACTCCCAATAGTCAAAAGTTTGGCTATGTGAGACTGTTTCCTCCCCTGCTGTCTGTCTGTTTCTCTCTCTCATTCTCTTTCTGTTTTTTTCCTCCGTCAGGGGTCAGCTGCACCAGCAGTGCTGTGAGGAATGGACTTTGGTCAGCGAGGAGACTCAAGCCAAGATGGCCCGCATGGCAGCGGCTGCAGCATGGGGACTGGGTGAGGCGAGAAGGGGGGAAAAAAGCATTGTTTTTGATTATTCCAACATTAGGTTGAAGTTAAAGAATGTAGGAATTCTGTAACTTAAGTCTGTAAAGTTTACCTGGCGACTTCAATCTGCAATTTTCCTTAGTTTTGGCAAAACACTGCTAGCGATCACTGCTAATTTCCACTTAATACTAAAAAGACAAAACACTGTAATCACATCAACACAGTGATACATAATTATCATTCCTCTTCTATAGGACAGGGATGCAAACTGCTCACCTTTTGGGTGAAGTTCACTGTCATGGATTTTGAGCAAAAATGGATACTTGCATGAGCCATGCTGTTCCCAAGAGTTTTTGTTTGAGGCAGGATGGGGGTTTGTTGTGCAGACGCATAACACATTCTTGATGTCAGTCGGCAACCGCATCCAAGCACGTCTGATAAAAAATGTTGCAAGTTTTGATGGTTATAAATACGTAATACTGTATTCATAGCAACATTAAGCTAGTTGTTAACTATAGTTGGTTACATAAGGCAAAAAAACAAGGCAGCTTTCTAAAGTAAATGCTTTAAAGACCATTAAGATCAGAATGTTAATGTTATTATAAAAAATCATGTGATGTCCATGTTTCATATTTCATGTATACATGACATTATGTGATTTACTTAAATATACCCCATTAGAATTTTTTTTTACTTGTTTCATAATGGTAATTCATTAAATATTTAAATTCAAAATCGTACTGTAGGAGTCTCTGTCTCTCCTTAACCTGCTAAGAAAACCTGCTTAAGTCAGCCTGAGCTGAAAAGTGCCCAAAACTTCTCTAAAACCAGCCAACAGACCTGTAACAATAAAAGCATGCATTTCACAACCCGTATTTCAGGGAAGTGAATTCATACGAAATAGTTCGGGAAAAAAAGACATTTTGGCCCTGGTGATACAAAACTGACAGTATATTAATACCTAAGTCATGTATTTTCTACCATACATTTTAATGAGCAATAAGATTCTATTGTGACTTTTGACCTGAGACCAAATGATGAAGGGTTCAAATTCAGTCACTATTCATCAGTCAATAGTATCAGTTTTTATTACATTTACAGATATTCTATTTACAGACCATCAGATATTCCACGTTGCTGCAATTTTCTTTTGGGACACTTAATGTTGAATCTAAGTCTCAGATATTGCAAACAGATATTTGTTTAATTTATTATTTTGTTGAAAATATTACATTTGTATGTATAATATCATTTGCTTCTTTGTGCGTTTGTCAGGCCACTGGGACAGTATGGAAGAGTATACCTGCATGATCCCACGAGACACCCATGATGGAGCCTTTTACAGGGCAGTGCTTGCTCTACACCAGGATCTCTTCTCATTGGCTCAACAGGTACTACATAATAAACAACTTATGAGAGTTATTAAATCAACAGTATATAAACTGCCTCTCACCTCGTTTGTCATCCTCTAAAAATGTCTGACTCGTGTGGAAGAAACAACCAAGAGGGAGATGATTAAGGAAAAAATTGTTCAGTCAAAGATGATGAGTGCAGCAGTTGCCGTGGTGCATTGTCTCACAGGCGTTATGTAATATTGGTGAAAGGCTAGCCGCAATATGCACGTCAAATAACTTGGCTGACATACGGTCCCTGCGGTGATGCAGTGTTCCTTTTTCCTAAACAAGCGTGACTGTGTGTGTGTGTGCGTGTGTGTGTGTGTGTGTGAGAGAGAGAAAGAGAGAGAGAGTGAGATGAGCTCATACACATGGAGAACATCACAGACACACCCATGTACTCTGTGTTCACCATTATTATCCTGTCCATCCCGTTCCATTACAATAACTTGGCTGACATACGGTCCCTGCGGTGATGCAGTGTTCCTTTTTCCTAAACAAGCGTGACTGTGTGTGTGTGTGCGTGTGTGTGTGTGTGTGTGAGAGAGAGAAAGAGAGAGAGAGTGAGATGAGCTCATACACATGGAGAACATCACAGACACACCCATGTACTCTGTGTTCACCATTATTATCCTGTCCATCCCACCTGTTCCATTACTCGAGAGGACATTGTGGCTAAGGTTACTTCAATTAAACAGTCAAAGGGGTCAATAATTACTTTTTTATTTTATGTTTTCTGAGGTACACCTATAATGGTAGTATGATTTTTACTTAAACTGTCATAATTTACAAATAAAAGGCCATTATCTACCCAGATTTTAGACCTCTTACTTAAATTCTCAATTTAAAAGGGTTGTGTTTTAATTTTAAACGCCCACTGCTATGATTGAGCAACATCTTTACATATGAAATAAATATTACATGTGGAACTCTTTTGAAAACTTTTTTTTTTGTATTTACTGTAACAGCTGCTAGGATTAATTAATCAATTGTGAAAAGTGTTGATTCTAGCATTATAATCACAATTTAAATAATTTTCAATTTCAATTTTCAATGCTACTAAAAGGAACAGCATGACCATTTAGTCACTGGCCTGATTTACTGACACATAAACAGCAATAAACAATTAGTGACAGAACATCTAACTGTACATGAGTGCTTATATAGTCAAACCAAAATTTATTTAGACACCTTCAACATTTCACACATTATTACAGTTTATTTGCTATAGTTTAGAAAATGGTAATAAAATGTGACAAGAACTCAGAGTTAAATTGTGTCAGAACAAATTCATCTTGATAATGTCAGATAACACTTAAGCAAAACATGGTCAGGTCAAAGTGTCTGAATAATTTTTGGTCCCAAATTTCCCAAAGGGAGGGTTGATTTTACTTGCACCAAGTGCATGAGGTTGTCAAGGCAACCAGATACATTGCATGCAATATACTTGTAAGGGCTACACTTATCAATAAACACTTCGAAAATAATGTGCAAAAATGATGTCAAAGTATGCTTTTACTTAGCAAATCAAGCAGTGAATTAGTCACCCTTTGCTTTAAAATGGGCATTTTGTTTAGGTATGATTCAAGTAAACAGACAATGGCATGCACACAAACACTTTATATTTAGTTAATCTTGCTGAAAATAGATGTTTATGGTTAGGTTTGGTTCTGTGTAAATTGCGTGTGTATGTAAATGGTCCTCATCCTTTCATAAATGCAGAAAACTGAGTTGCTACAATGGGTGCATCCTGCACATCACCTACGGAGTCATCAAGCATGGTATAGGTCCAGATTTCTGTGCAGTTGGTCGGCGTTGTAAAAAAGTTGAATATACATTTATGCTACACAACAGGCAAGCAGTGTACTGTAGGCTATTATCCACCAAACTGCAGATCCTCATCAAACAACTGTTGACAAAAATGTGATTGGGGGAGGCATTAGTATTTTGATAACAATCTATGTAATCCATGCACTGCAATGCTGACAACAGTTTTCTGTGCATGTGTAAGTCTCTGGGTCAAGTGCGTCAAGTTATATTAATTATATAGAGCTTTGTTCTATACAGATCGTGTCAAAGCAGCTTTAAAGTAATAAACTGAAAAAAACAGCAATTTCAACCGACTGCCCAAGGCCAGCATGAAAGACGCTCAGGACAGTTGACGGGTCACTGCTGCGCGTCATCATGAAAGCTTATCATTTGCATGTTTTTAAGCCTTGCCAATTTGAACATTCAAGAGATTAAAGCATTCTAGCACAAGAAGATGCGAAAGAACTCAACTGAGTACTCACTGAACTAAGTTCTCTTTCATGTCTTTGTAGCGAATCAGCTCATTGGGAAATATGAATAATTAATCATAACTAGTTATAATTAATTATAAATATTTAGATCCGCTGTAAGTATTTACTTGACCTCTCAGGGTCAACTGTCTGTCAATTCTAAGAATGTTAATTTCCTGGTTAAGGGAAATAACTTTCTTACTGTACAACTCTACACAGAGCCTGTAGCATAAATCTGCATGATTAGGGACTCCAGCTATGAGCAAACAATGAACAACGTCAACTGTGATACAAGTAAGACTTTATTAACTACATAAACACTTAAACTAGTCTAACATACTACATAAACAATTAAACTGGTCTAACATACACATAAACACACACACACACATACAGTTGGTATAGGAAAGGGTTAAAGCTTAAGCAGTAAAGAGGAGAGAAATAAGGAATGAAGTTATGGAACCATTTGCATATTCAGCAGATCTACCGCCTGAAGGAAACATCAGATTCTTAGTTCAAACACACCTTTGTAAAAAGGTGCAAATGATACCTAATGTATCAATTAATAAGACTAAGTTTGAATACTTGCACGTCTCGTCTGTCTGAAAGAGAGGTTTGATGCAATCTGAAGGTTCAAGTTGAATATGGGCTTGTCCAATGAGAAAGGCCGGAATCCCAAGTGGGAGTTTGGAAATACTGGGGAGTTTTATGACCCTTTGTGTGATAGCATGGTAATTTGCATATGGAACTTGAATCTAAATTACTAAAGATTCTCAGGACACTAATATATTGCCTATGTACCAACATATAATATACACGCTCGTTTAGATCATCAGAAGGCGAATTCATAGATACTAAACATGGTAGGATTACATATAGGTAAGATGACAGGAACGAGTGGTTCCATCATAAGCCTGCATAAAACAGTATAAAATATCAAAGACAACATACACAATGACCTGAAGGATATGTGTGTTCATTCAAAGAAAGGTTTTCCTATGGATTAATTAGAGAAAAGTCCATTTCTACTGTGCATTGTGTCTCTTCCTATGGAAAAGGTAGTGATTTTCTCTACTCACATTCCTTTGGGCCATAAAACCAGTGATATCAGCATTGGTTGCCATGGGGACCAGGGGGGGCCTGGTGTCGTTCGCAGACATCCTGGCACCCAGTTTATTGGGTGAGGGGTCTGTGACGATTTGTTAATCTAATGAATAACTAATTTGTTAAATCAAATGCAAAATTGTATGTTTGATTGGTCCAGACGCTACATCTTCTTGCACTTGAATGAACAAATACACCTCACCAATTTAAACATTCAAGCAAAAACGACGTGAAAGAGCTTAATTCAACACCCGTGCGCTGTGTTCTGTGCGCACAGCGTGCACACAGAGAGCTGCATCTCACAGCCCATGAACACCGAATTGTGTTTTGCGTCTTCTTACACTTGAATGGACAAATACATACAAAATTATGTTGAAATACCCGTCTTGACGAGCATCCTCGAAAAACTGTTGGTTATGTCTTAAGTGAACATAAACATCTGAGAAAGAAATTGGGTGTGTAATTTATACCTAATTTACTAGCTGCTGTCGCTGTTCTAATGTTAATCCAAGAAAAAATAGAGAAAGTCACTCACTGCTGTTGACTGAATTACTTTTGTAGTTTTAACAAGAATTAATCTGTATTTAATTTATTAAGCGAAGACTGTGCAATGCTATTTTACATTTGATTATTTGGTTTCAGTAAAAAAAAAAAAAACAACTTAAATCATTGTTTAATTTGTGTATTTGTTATCTTTATTTATTTGTGCTATTTACATGATTTCAAACAGGGCCCACGGTCTTGAATCTCCAATTATACTATAAGTTAGGGTTTGATGAAACGGCATAGAATGCATGATAGTTTAAAAAAGAGACAGTTGACTTTTGATGGGCTGATGGTGGTCATTTTTTGTTTAGTGACATTTAAAGAACATGTTAGCATGTGTACCAAAGATAATGTTCTCCTCCAAAGTTCTTCTTTAGCTTGGTAAGAACACAGTTAGGAACACATTGTGACTGATAATTCCAAGTTACCGCACAAGTTAATGTTTTTGTACATTTATGGTATAATTCAATTCAATTCAATTCAAGTTTATTTGTACAGCGCTTTTCACGATACAAATCATTGCAAAGCAACTTTACAGCAAATTAAGTTTCTACAATATTTAGTGGTAGCTTATCAGTGGTGACTGTCAGTTAATGTACATATGGCAGAAATGTACTGAAAAATCAATTAAAGCCGGACTCCATTCCCCAAACCCCATACACCTGTTCACTCATTACACTAATTCCCCAAACTCCATACACCTGTTCAGTCATTCACTCATTACACTCACCCTCAGCTGTTCCCCATTGTCACAGACTATATCTTCTCCTCTCACTCACCACTCTGCCTGGCTGTATTGTAAATGTATTCGTATCTGTCGTTCCTAGATCTGTTTTGTTTTGCCTTGTTGGCCTTTCTGTTCATTAAAGAGAAGTTTTCACCTGCATGTGGACCCAGACCCTGTTTCTCCTCGGTGTTTCGTACCGGGCCGTGACATTGTTTGAATGCTTGGCCAAAGAGATGTGTCTTTAATTTAGATTTAAACAGAGAGAGTGTGTCTGAACCCTGAACATTATCAGGAAGGCTATTCCAAAGTTTGGGAGCCAAATGCGTAAAAGCTCTACCTCCTTTAGTGTGCTTTGCAATCCTTGGTACTACCAAAAGTCCAGAGTTTTGTGACCTTAGGGAGCGTGATGGATTGTAGCGTGGTAGAAGACTAGTTAGGTACGCAGGAGCTAACCCATTAAGGGCCTTATAGGCAAGTAATAATATTTTGTAACTGATATGGAACTTAATAGGTAGCCAGTGCAGAGACTGTAAAATTGGGGTAATATGATCATATTTTCTTGACCTGGTAAGGACTCTAGCTGCTGCATTTTGGACTGCCTGTAGCTTGTTTACAAGTAATATTTAATACAATTTATATATTATAGTGAATACACTGGCTGAAATAATTGGGATAGGGGTTGAAAGTCTGAAGGGCAGGCTGAAATCATGGTGGTAGAGTTTGCTGTAGAAGTCTAGAATATTGATGGGTGTCTGTGGTCTTTGCTAGTTGTTTAGGTCTGCGTTGCAGTCTTGGCTTCGCTTAAAGAGATCTGTATGCGTGTGTCTACATGTCTATGTGAGAGAGAAAGCAGGAGAATGAAAGCATGCTTTCCATATAAGGTAATTTAGTGGTAAAAACATGGAAATTATCTTTTTTATTTTTGTTTGTCATACTTGTTTTCTTGGTCAGTGTATTTCTGGTTTTGGGATTTTTTTTGCTGTTGTTTGCTATAAGGTCCTTTTGAATTAACTGAAATAATTTGAAATGACTGTAATGCGGTCAACGGACCTGGAACATTTTATAGATGTGTGTTTATTGAAAAATAGTTGCAACCAGAGTCAAGCATTCAGCAACACTATGGTATAATGTGTGTTCATGTGATTTCAGTGCATTGACAAAGCCAGAGACCTACTGGATGCTGAGCTCACCGCCATGGCTGGAGAGAGTTACAGTAGAGCATATGGGGTAAGAGAATATACCTCAGTCTCAATATAGAAGATTGTCCCAAGTCAAATAATCATTTGATACAAGTAATGTATAGCTTTTCTTTTTATTGTTCATTGAGTAATTGCTGTTCAGCATGTGAGCTAAAGAGAAGACCATTTCAGGAGAGACTATTACATAATAAGGCCAAACAATAATGTGTTACATTATTCCAGCCTGAATAAGGTGCTAATAAACGCGTGCACACACACACGTACTCTCACATTGGGTGAGAAAATGACACTTTATGGATCTAATCTTTGTTTTTTTTTTCTTTCCTCAGTTTTAATTTAACATGATTTAAATGTTTAAAGAGTGCATACAAAAGAAGTCTTGGCTTTTTTTAATATAGTCAAGACACTTATCTTTTCACACACACTCACACTCTCTCTCTCTCTCTCTCTCTCTCACATACACTCATACACACTCTCTAACACTCACACACTCTCTCTCTCTCTCTCTCTCTCTCTCACAGGCCATGGTGTCTTGTCAGATGCTGTCTGAGTTAGAGGAGGTGATCCAGTATAAACTGGTTCCTGAGAGGAGGGACATTATACGGGAAACGTGGTGGGAGAGGCTGCAGGTAACAGCAATGTTTTTCACTCCACACTTACCGAGTTAAATGGAGTATTCAGGGTTCTATATGTATGTCTATAAAATCAAAGTTAAATTAATTACAAAATAATTTTTGCACATGTATATTTTTAACTGTGTCACTACATATGAACAGTAAGTCAGTAGCGATACATTAATTTTAAGTTTCACAAAGAAAGGATTCATCAGACTGATCCAAACCAATAACTTCCATCTGTTGCTGTTGTGTTCCTTCATCAGTAATCCTGTCCTGACCTGGTTGACGTTACGTGTGAAAACACTTTGTGGTTGGCTTGACATCAGCTCAGCAGGGTGTCTTGACGTAGTGTGTCAGCTTGCATTTCTTTTATATGCTCAGCTAGTGCCACTGGGGGAAAACAAGCATTTAACAGTGAGAACTAATGCTGCCAACCTGCAGACTTTTCCATTCAGGAAGGTGTGAGAGTGCAGAACTGATATATTGTTGACAAGGAAATGTTAGTCAGCAGTTAATTGGTCAGCTTCAGTCCAGGAGAATTACAGACTCAGAATAGTGTGATTTGTTGTATTAGAGGGGGTTTATGTACAGGCAGTTTTTCATCCATATCCACTTTCAGGTTTATTCAGCCCTGTTATGTGTAGAAGTAGCTTATTCTGGCTAAGGACTGCCCACTTTATAACCTTAACACTAACTCATACTTTTGCCAAAAGTCAGTAGACTGGCTATGCAATGGTAAAAACTAAGTAAGTCTTCATCTTTTTGTCAACACATTTTCTCAAATTAATGAGTAACACACCATTGTTTATAGCTGTCAGCTGCTCAGTTTCTTGTCATTTGTGTCAAAAAAAACTTCATAGAGTCTAATGTTACCAACCATGATTCATAATAGTCAGTGCTGGGAAGATTATTTGCAAATTGTAGTCTGTTATTGATTACAAATTACACAACAAAAATTGTAGTTTGGGACATAATTTATAGATTACTCATTTTAGGTAATGTATTATACTTTTTAATTACTTCTAGATTACTTTTTACCTAACTCATTTGTCACATATATAGTGTACCATATTGAGATAAAATAAAATAATAATAAAATAACAGAGAAAGAAAATATATTCCATTCTTGAAAATGCATTAAACAATACTTTACGCCAGGATTTCCCAAACTGGATTTCATGAAAGAACTGCAGGGGGTTCGTGTGTTTATGAAAAGCCAATAATTAATTAAATCATAAAAATGTAAAATTAAAGCTAATATATTACTTGGAAATAAAAACAAATCCAAATAAGATGATTGAACATTAAAAATAGCAATGACATTACACATCTTCAGGTTTGAAGTACTTTTAGACCAGACTTTCGTCCAGATCAATAATTAGTGATGTTCAGCAGATTTCATAGTGTTTCACAGCTGTTTATCTGCAGTGTTTACTAACTTGTATAATTATTTGTTTCATACATGGTCTAATTGACTGAGAGGTGCTTTGTCCCCAAATTTAGAAACATGGATCACAAATGTATTTACATAAAATTTACATGGCCATGTTGTGAATATAGTCAAAGCTACACAGTGTGACGCACGGTAGAATTATTTAGAAAAGAAAATTCAAAGGAGAAAAAGAAGAATTGAAGCCACTGTGTGAATTATGAGCATAATATAATGTAATTACAAGTATTAAATTTTTTGGAATCTGATTACATAACATCTGGATTATATGTAATAAGTTACTACCCAGAACTGAGCATAGTTTACAAAAGTAAATGCTAAAAATGTGACTTTCTTTTCTTCAGGGTTGCCAGCGTATTGTGGAGGACTGGCAGAGGATCTTGATGGTGCGCTCCCTGGTCATTAGTCCACATGAGGACATGAGGACATGGTTGAAGTACGCTAGCCTCTGTGGAAAAAGTGGAAGACTAGTAAGAACATCACGGTTACCTTCAATTGCAAGCTTAACACTGAACTTTTTATGTAACACATTGAATATCATTGACTGACACCGCATCATTTCACAGAAGGAAAAACTCTTGTGGAAGTTTTAAATATCTTCCAGAATGTGGCAGAATGTTTCTAAACAGAGAAACATCCATAAACAATGAAAAATTTAAGCAATAAGCCTCAAGAAGCCATGGTTTACAGTGATTTAGAACTGCTAAGTGGTGTTGAAATGCACAGTGTGGAGCTACAGTATATAGACCAGGCAAGGTTTTATAAAATAAACACAATTCAAAGGGGGCATAAACTGAGAAATCAAAATTCCCCTGCTCGTTTGACATATAAGAGGTCATTGCACTATAAAAGCAGTGTAAGTTTGATTCAAAAATCAAAAAGTTGCTTTTATTGAAACCAAGCTACCAAAACAACTCTTTTTTTTTTTTTTTTAATTCCTCCTCTTTATTATTTAATAGAAATTAATGCATTAGTGTAAAACTGCCTATCAGCGCCTGTTTCTTCATCATCACCTCTTCGACCCCAAGCACTGCTGTGTTATGGATAGACTAGGATCATATGACTAAAAATAGGAATGTTAGGAATTGGCTGTTTATTTTCAGCCATGTAAATGCTCAGTCAGACATTCTTTGTCGCCGGTTTGTTTGTTGCTGTTTATGTGTCGGTAAATCAAGCCAGTTACTAAACAATGAACTTCACATTGTTCCTCTTAGGGACGTAGCATTAAAATCATCTGATTGTGTTGTTTAAATCCTGATAACATATTATATTATTATAACATTTATAGTACCATATGTTGATAACAAATAATTATTTCACCAAACAATATAGTTCTTTGGCAATTTTTAGCAGAATGGTACATAGGCACAGCAATACCAATGTGATGAGATCACATTAATGAGGTTTATAGAGTATTTTACAACATGACTCAGTCAGTTTTGCACTTTTACCAAAACTGGTCACTGCAAATCATCTACTATAAAATAATGAAATATTTGAAATTATATTTTGCTTAAAAAAAAAAAAGTTGTTTAATGGCGTCTGAATTTTGTCTGAATAATGGTGTAGTTATTACATCTACCAGCAGGGGATAACCTTGTCACGTTAAACCACTAAACCCTGACCTCTTGCCTCACATACATGACTTGACTTAATGCCCTTTTTTTTTACTGGTCCTGTTATTGAAGTCTTAATTATTTATGAATATGTAGTAAATCTCCTACTGTAATTCTGTCGAAAATGTTTGCAATCTTTGGAGGCCATTTTATGTTTAAGTTTTTATGACAGCTGCCATTTCATGTCACTGAATTACATTTGGTTTACAGATGTTTGCCATTTTATTTACATTGTGACGACAATTTGGAGACATAATCATTTGAAGCAATAATTATAACTGATATTCTTTGTGTATTCCTCAGGCACTAGCCCATAAAACCCTCATTCTCCTGCTGGGTGTGGATCCCTCCAAACAGCTCGACCATCCCCTGCCCACCGCCCACCCTCATGTCACCTACGCTTATATGAAGTACATGTGGAAGAGCACTCGCAAGGTAAACACTCACTTCAGGTGCTCTTGAAAACAAGTGATTCCCTTCGCAATGCCCCTGGGAAGTATTTTCATTAATGTACAGTCAAGTACAGATTCTTGCTGCTTGTATGTGCAAAAAAGAAAGTGGTCTGCAATATCTGCAAGCCATCCATTAGCATTCCCATTCATCTTAAAAGCAGTTGCTTATCTGACACATACAGTCCTGGAAATATATGACTTGCATGCTCCAATCTTGGTTCTCACTGTTTTTTTTTTTTTTTTGGTTTTTCACTGGTGAAAAATATACCCATTAGCATTCCCATTCATCTTAAAAGCAGTTGCTTATCTGACACATACAGTCCTGGAAATATATGACTTGCATGCTCCAATCTTGGGTTTTCGCTGTTTTTTTTTTTTTTTGGTTTTTCACTGGTGAAAAATATACTGTAATATAAATATTTAGAGTTTACTTTTGCTTGCAAAGAATTTTAATTAGTCAGAATTAGGCCCGCAGGCCCCTCATTGCATAGTGTGTACTGACCACCAGAGCCCCTGGGCCCCTTGGCGCATTCAACACAGGAAGACCCGTAAAGCATGTACTGACCCCTAGGGCCCCAGGGCCTTTTATTGTAAAGACTAGGGAATCATAAGAACAAACACTTATACAATGCCCATCAGATGAGATGAAGCAGCTCAGTTTAGCTCTTTTTGGAATGCTGTGATTGTTAATATTTTTCATATTATGCAAGATGTCAGTTACTAGGGGTTAAGGGTAAATCAAGTATGGCTTCTATTTAGTTTGTCAAACAGATTAATTTAACATGACTGTAATAGGTTTTGGGAAATTCCTGTCCTGCCTGTCACATAAGAGCAATGAAAGCACTCCTTCATGAGATGACTCCTTCAAAAAATTCCCTTGATTAGTTTCTCCTTGCTTAAAAACATCCTTGTTTTTTAAACAGAAAAAATCTTCTGTCTGTGTCTGTGATGATGTAACAAGATGAGTGGAAAGGTCGCTTGGCTTTACCTGCAGCTTTCCAGCTTCCCAGTCTTACCTCTTTATTACTCTATTACTCTAGTATTTGACAAATGGACATGGTACACTATTACATGTTACACTATATTATGTCCAACTCCCATATACATTTATCTGAACTTAAATAGCTCCACATAAACATTACAAATGTAAGTAATAGCAGGAGGTCAGTCTCTCCCTCTTGTTAACTTGAAATTGCATTATTTACTTGTTTGGGGTCCTGATTAGCAAGATTTTCAAGAATTTTTTTTAACATTTAATGTGTAGATTCATGTATCTGCATGGCTATATTGACTATATTCTTGCAATAAATATTTATTTTAAGTAGATTTGTAAATTGTACAGTCCATGGTAAGGCCTGTCACAATGCAGGAAATGTTTAAAGAACTAAAACACAATTTGAGTAGGCAAGTGTGTGTTCTGGAGGGAAAAAAAGGTGTGTTTTGCTGTTTAGCCAAATGATGAAATTTTAAGAAAAAAATATTAGACTTTAAAGGGGTACTTCACAAAAAAAAAATGCTGTCATTTATTTACCCTCAAGTTGTATGAGTTTCTTTCTTCTGTTGAACATAAAAGAAAGTATTTTGAAGAATGTGGGTAACCAAACAGTTTTTGGTCCACATTGACTTCCATAGTATGAAAAAAAATAATAGTATAAAAAGTTATAACCAGAAGCTTTATAGTTTATGCGCATGTTTTCTTATTGGATAAAAAATGTGTCCAACTCGGTTACACTCGGGTCAGTTTTTATGCACATTTTTAGAATTAAGGCATGTCTTGGCATTTCCATTCAGTGTTTTTTTTTATGCAATATCCCAAAATGTGCATTAAAATAGGTGGATGGAAACATAGCTAATTATGACAGACTTTTCATTTTTGGGTGAACTATCCCTTTAAGGACAGTATAATTATGTCACGTCAGCGTCCTATAGTAGAGCTTGTTACTGGAGTGTTATGTCTGTGAGAGATTACATAAGTACTGGCTAAGTACCAGGCACTGAAAATCATAGACCAATCCGCAGCACAGCGTTGCGTTAAAATTACTGGCATACACACATAGAGCCATCAGCCTCACTCAAATACTCCTGTGAAGAGATGAAAAAACAATGCATAAAATTACTAAAACATATTGAATTGTGAATTGCAAATTGCCACATTAATAGAAATTACAAAACACAATCAGTTGTCTGTTGGATGACCTGCTGTAAATTTTGGTACTGAATTGATATTACTGAAGGAAAAGATCTGCATTATGCTATGATCAGTTTAATGAAGTCTCTAAAAAATTGGGTGTTATGGAAATGCTCATGATTGGCAACTGGCAGGAGCCATAGCCATTGTTCCACGGAATTGGTCTGTATAAAAAGGATACTGACTTTAGAAATATCTTCTACTGGTAAGGATTGCATGATACTTAGGCATTTGTTCTATCTGCATCTCTCTCAGATCGATGCATTCCAGCATATGCAGCACTTTGTGCAGGGGATGCAACAGCAAGCACAACACGCTATCGCAGCAGAAGACCAGCAGCACAAACTGGAGCTGCACAAACTGATGGCACGGTCAGTACGACTCGCAACCATATGCCCACACCCTTAGTTGACTACTTGAAAATTGCATGCACGCACACGCTAGCGTTATAAACTGTGCACCAACAGAAGCACCAATTTAAATGCTTATTCTGTGAATCATCAGAAAAAAAGCATGGTATTTTTCTCAAACCATTTAAGCACAAACCCAGTCTTTTGTGTACCCAGTCGTCCCTGAGAGATATCTACATTTTTACACACTAACCATTCCACTTTCAATCTACAGCTTTTGCGTACAGCAGCCAGGACAAACAAACTCTTCACATAGGACTCACTGCTAAGACATTAGTCAGACCTGTTAGGCCCCTCCTCTCCCTTACAGAAGTTATCTCTGCTTAACATGATCATTGTTCTGAATATTTGTACTGAATAGTGCAAAACAACTGATTTAGTAGTGACATTAAAAAAAAAAAAACATGAAAGAACAATGACTGACAAATTCGAATTGTGTGGCTCTTTTCTAAAACCTAGTGATCTGCTTTGATGTCTATGTCCTAACATGAATTGGAATCTCAAAAGTTATTTCAAACGCTCTACTCAAACAAAAATGGGCAAGTTTGATGTCAGAACCTAAGTTCCAATAAACAAAAAAAATTAGTTGCACTCTCAAATATTAGAAATTGTAAAAAAAATTTAATTTCATCAAACAGTTTTTTGCTATTTATTTTGCTATTTATTTATGTATTGAATGAAATTGATGTTTTTATAGTGTACAATTCTCTTGACTTTTTTCATAAGCATGTTTGCTAATCTAATGACACATTCCTCTAACAAACTCAAAATACATAGTTATTGTATTCAATAATATTTCAATTAGATTGAACTGCTTTTTTATTGATTCTTCTAACTACTGCGTGAAATAATCTCTCTCAGTCTACAGTTTTAGAATTTCTCCAAATTGAGGTATTAGCATAAGGCTGCTCTTTGACTTTTAAAACATCCTTATTGTCAAGAGCATGTTTTTGATTCCTGAAAAAATGGTGGTCAGCTCTCTAGGTTTTAGGAGAGAGCTTGTGTGGTTTGCTTAATGCTGAGATCAGTTTCTTCTTCCCTCCCAATGACTAGGGTTGGGTATCGTTTGGGTTTTTTTCGATACCGGTGCCAAGTTGATACTTTTAACACGGTTCCGGTGCCTAAACGGTGCCTGAACCGATACTTATTAAATAAATAAATAAATAAAAATTCCCCCAAAAAATTATGGATTGGCGGGGTTCGTGGGCGGGGTTTCACCTAACAGTATACGTAGCAAAGTTTTTGTTTGTTTGTTTGTTTGTTTGCTTTGTTTTTATAATAAATAAAAAGAAAACAAGTAGAAAGAATAGACACTTCTGATAACAAGGTAGCCTATTTTCCATTGACCGGTTAAGATTTACAACAAAAATTTGGTCAGATTTTCGCATTGGTCTGAACAAAAATATGGCAGACAGACTGAATGAATTGTAAATTCACAGCTTAACAGCAGGTGGCGCTTATGAACAGCAGAACAGAACTGTTTCCACAGTAACATCTGTAAACAAAGCTGCACTGCACTTCTAAACACTGCTTTATTATGCATTACACGGAGGGAAAATGGAAAGCAAATGCCATCAAAACTTTTCTGAAGACAGTTTCCTATTATACTTTCATACAAATAATTTAATCATACATTCTTTCATATACATATACATTCTTTCCCTCAGCAGTCTGCCTTCAGTCATGCTTTCACACAAAATGAAACTTCTCTGCATGTTGCGCCTGCGTGAGACTCTTAATAACTTAAATTAAGATTAAAGCTGAACAATATTTACTTGAGTTTTTCAAATCGCTATAATCAAATACGGGTTTAATGATAATTAAAATATGAAACGGTAATACTAACAGTCGAGAATTTTATCATGATTTTTGTTGGACAACAGGTTTAGAAATGTGAATACAAGGGAGGTTTAGCTTTAGGCATTTTAATTTAAGCATGTTTAGCATGTTTAGTTAACGGAAGGCTACCTGCTGCCATCACAGCAAGTGTAATTGCTGCATTCACACGCTCCTCGGATGCTCTCATTTCCCTAGTTGTGCTCTGTGAATGTAAAAACAACATGGACACTCTCGTTACTACAAAGATGTGTTGGATTTGTATTATTAGAGCTTTCCGACTTGAGTTCACGTGCATTTTCTCAGTCGGGAAATTATTATTTTTCACGTGCGGTGCCACATGATGCTTTTAACGTCTGTTTCGGAGAACCTGAGGACACATATTTCAATCGATCGCTCAGGCATGGCACCGAAATGAGGCACCGAAATCTGCGTTCGGATTCGGTTCTAGTACATACCGGTTACATAGGTACCGGTGCCATATTGGTACCGGGTTTCGGTACCCAACCCTACCAATGACTGCTCCTGCTGTCATTATGTACTTTAACAAACTCCTCCTAGAGATTTAATCAGATCAATACCATATTGGGTCAGTCAAATCTATAGGCCTTTGCGATGCTAAATTGCAAAGTGTCACGGCCAACTCATTTACAGCCATCACATAAAGAGATTCACGCACACAAACAAACTGTTTGAATGATATGATTATTGCTGTATGATGTTGCTGTACATTACACATCCAATACAAGGTCCAATTTGTCCCAGACTTCAAATGTTTGATAAAAGTCCTGACTTGAATGCATCTACATGACAGTAATAATTTAAAAGACATAGTGCCACCTACTGGAAGTTGTTGTAACTAAAAAATAGAATGTCACATGCTTGAAAGGAGTCCTGACCTGAAGACATCTACATTTACAACAATGGTTCTTAATCCTGGTCCTGGAGACCCACACTCTGCACATTTTGCATGTCTCCCTTGTTTAACACATCTGATTCAGATCATTAGCTTGTTCGGAGAGAGCTTAATGAACTGAACTGAGCATGTCAGATAAGGGAGATATACAAAATGTGCAGACCTGGTGGTCCCCAAGACCAGGATTAAGAACCACCACCTACTGGTGACATGTTTTACACATCAGTGCTGCTTGCAGCTCTAATTGTTATAATTCTTCTTAGTTGAAAATATGTTTGCTGGTCATTTTGTTTCATTTGTTGTGGAATGTTTTATTATTGTTACTGTGTTGCATATTAAAATTCTTTTTAGAATTCTACAACCAAGAAGTTTGTAAATATGATGTTCTATAGTATAGGGGGCATTTAGTTAAAGGGGTCATATGATGCGATTTCAATTTTTCCTTTCTCTTTGGAGTGTTACAAGCTCTTGGTGCATAAAGAAGATCTGTAAAGTTGCAAAGACTAAAGTCTCAAATCCAAAGAGATATTCTTCATAAAAGTTAAGAGGCAACCACGCCTACCTAAAACGGCTCATTCTAACACATGTAACATCTAACATGTCTACGATGTGAGAAGATTTGCATAACGCCGCCCACACGTTCACGCAAAGAAAGAAGGCGTAACTTATATTCTCGCTGTAGTATTGTTG